CAAACAAGTGCTGCTAGCATCAAAACCTCAAGTTTTTAGGTCATTTCCGGTGACCCAAGCATAATTGCGTGATCCCTTTAGCTAGGTGCGAATGGCCATTTATGGCCATTTGCCCCGGGGGGCAAGCGGTGAACTGTAAAATCGGGAGTGTCGCGTAACCGGCGGCACTTTTTAGGGTGCCGCCCCTGGGGTGAGGAGTCTATTGTTGGCAGATGATGGGTGTCGAACGGATCTGATGCCCTTCCCTCTGATGTTCTTTTTGGGGTCCCGTGGGACCATTGGCCTCGGGCAAGAAGGGTTCATCCGGCCCCGAAAAAGAAGCATCATTACAGCTTTGATGTTCCGATCGGGAGGAGAGGTGGTATGCCAAAAATATTCACCGATGCGCTGAAGGTAGTGAACCTAGGTCTATGCCTAAGCCTTAAGTATAAGCCTAAACCTAAGCCTAAGCCTAAGCTTTGACCTAAGCCGACTAATAAGCCCCTTAGGCAAGCCAGCAGATAACATTCAGAAGCCCCCGGAAAAATTGGTGCCAAATGGTGGGTCGTAAAACCCGGGAAAAGCCGTCGGTTGGGGACTCTAAGAAGTGTGCAGTGGTGAAGATGCTTTGTTTGTCGTCCTTTCCACCCCCTACAGCATCACCATGGCAGAATTCGCGGTGGGACCCCTGGCCGGGGGATAGGGGATAGGCAATGACAAGCAGAAGCTAATGAGAAAAACGAGAAGCAAAAGCAAAAAAATAAGTCGAAAAAACCCCAAAGCAAAAGAATATGGGAAAAATTATTCGTTTTTGGCAGACATGGCAAAACGGCCGCCGCGGCCGGCCGGAAGCCGCATGTAAATTTTTTTTCACGGCCGGGGCCGGCCGCAAAGCCGCAAAAATTACCCACGGCCGCAGCCGGGCCGAGCCGCAAAAACGTCCTGGGGCCGCAGCCGGCCGCGGCCGGCCGCGGCGTTTGCAATGAACTGCTCGTTGCCTTTTTCCTTTTCAGAAATAATGCAAATCAGTAAAATTCAAGTCGAAATCCTAAAAATAGGTCATTAATTTCGCCATGGTGCCGCCGCGGCCGGCCGCGGCCGGCCAGACTCTTTTTTGGAGACGGCCGCGGTGGCCGGGATTTATGCTAATTTCATATGCGGCCGGCCGCGGCCGGCCATGGGTAGCTACGGCCGGACCGGCCGGGCCGGGCCGCGGCCACTTCCCATGTCTGGTTTTTTGGGACAATGGATATTGACCCAGCCCAATTTCTAGCACTAATTGCTGGCTTCTAAGATGTGAGTTTTCGTAATTTCAAAAATTTTTATTTCCCCTCAATCGCCAAACTCCCGTAAAGTTGTAAAGCAAAGTGGCGATGGAGCGGAAAAGTGGATCTTTTAAAGGGGAAGAGAGGATCCGCTTACGGGAGCCAAGGAAAAGCCCGGTGGGACCCGGGGGAGATGGGGGTCCAGCAGTCCTTTCGGTCTCTTAAAAAAGTACTTTCTTTTTGGGGAGGAGATTGGGGAAATGGAGCTCGGATCGTTTCTAGCAAAAGCCCTTTGTAGCCTACAGCAAGCTAAGCTAAGCTAAACTTCTAAAAGGCTTTCTAGTAAAAAAAGTGAAGAAGGAGAAGAAGTGAAGAAACGAGTTGGCTTTTAGCTATAAAAATTTAGGTTTAAGACTATAGCAATCTTGCGTCAACCGAAGGCTCTTACTCCCCGAAATGGAGTAGACAAAAAGCGGCGAGTGAAGCCGATCCGGTGGAAGAGCCGCCCCGCCCCACTTCTTACTCGGTGGCCCTCCTCCGCTCCGTGAATTCAATTCGGGGCCCGTGGGTCGAGTAGGAAGGGGCTCTACTGGGTATCTCTGGGTAGTTCTCGATATCTAAGGGTTGAAGTCATACCCCGTTTCTCTTTAATTTCAGATCAAACTAGCATGGTGCACGAAACGAAAGTCGGAAAAATTTAGACTAAATACTGGGCGTCGCCTCTGGGATATCTTGCCGATAATAAAAAATTCGACTTTTTGGGAAAGCTATCAGAAATTGTTGCTAAGTACTTAAGGACATTAGCAGAGATCCTGGGAGAAGACTAGTAAATCCAGTTTTATCAGAACACATAAACGTCAAACACTTCAGACTCGAAGCACTTGTGTAAAGCGAGAATTTGAATGCGCAGCGAAGGACTGCCGAGGTCGTTTAGGTGAGCAGATTCGACACCTGTAAATTCTAGACAAGGGCAAGTTAGCAGAGATCCTTTTGGAATCTGAACCGGCTTCCAAACAGTTCTGAAAAAAAAACGGCTAAATCCTCCTTTTCATAAGCCCCTAAATCTTATTTTTTCGCTTCGGATTTCATCCCCATCCGGAAATTGCGCATCAGAAGATCGGCTGGCAGCGCGCGATCCGGTTACGCAATGCAATAAATAGCGCGTGGACGGCCTGAAGGGATGGGAACGTCAATAGGACAAGTGCGGGAAGTGGGTGCAGGGGACTGCCGGGGCAATCTAGCGGTGATCGCCTGGGAATGGGGAATTAGGGCGATGATTAGGGCAGGCTTGTCGTGGGTTTAAAGGGACTGTGAAGCGAAAATCTACTAACGTGAAATAATCGAAAATATATAAAAAATATAAGTTAGGTTGTACGATCTAAAAAAATTGGATGTGGATTCTAGCACTTTTTTTTACTTCCTCGTCCCTTTAAAATTTGTTTCAGACAAAAATGGATTTTTCCAGATTAAATAGACATCTACCCGATTCCCCGAACCCACCGCTTGGTCTCTATGGCCTCGGGCCCACCCAAATTGGCCCTTTGTTTTGGGCCCCCCATGGACCCAGGACCCGCCGAAAACGCGATTAGCCCCATCCGTGGATAATCAAGGGCCAATCCGCTCGCTTCGAATGGAACGATGGGACAACCAGGAACACTAACAAATCTGGAAATCCGCGAATTTGGAGATTGCCTGGGAGGTCGCGGCAAATGGACGAAACCGTGAAGCCAAGTTTACGCAAATTTTGGCAACTGGCAAGGATTTTAAAAACGCTTCAAGCAGCCCAAAAATTAAATAAAGGCTGAAAATGCTGTCGAAACAGATTTGCTAGACACAGACAGACACAACAGTCGTAATTGTTAGTAATTTGCAGACATGGCAATTCCGATCGGCCGAGCCGCGCGGCCGGGCCGGCGGCCTAATTTCCATAAAAAACGCGGCCCCCTACGAGCCGCCGTAATTAGTTACTTCCGGAAACGCGGCTTCGCGGCCGAGCCGCATTTTCATCGCGGCTCGGCCGGGCCGCCGCGGGCAAGCCGCAAACCGGAAGTAGCTCTTCTACATACCAAAAATCCGCGAATTTCATGCGAAATGGAAATGGAAATGAGAAAATTAAGGCTCTCGAAAATAAATCCTCCTCGTTAGCAAGCTAAATACCCATTACATCTCGGATTTGCGTACCGGAAGTTCTTAAAACTCATTTGGATGCGGCCTTAAAAGCCGCGCGGCTTGGCCGCCGTGCGGCCTCAAAACGGAAAAAAGCCGCGGCCGCACCGGAAGTGCGGCCAAGCCGCGCGGCCCGGCCGCATTCTAATTTTCGCGGCCGAAAAAGCCGCGCGGCCCGGCCGATTGCCATGTCTGGTAATTTGTCAGCATTTTAAAACAGCATAAGGTATTACTCGTCTAGTTCTACAAAGTGCATGTAACATACAACCTTTCAAGCTATTTCCAAGACGTGAAATCTTCTGAAAACCTCATCAGAGATTTTGTCAGTTGAAGCTGATGATCGTTTCCCCCGATTCTACTCCGATTCTGTTTCCCACATCATTCACCCCTTATTCCGATGCTTATCTGCTCGTCGGCGCTCCTTTTGGATATAGCAACAGCTTGCCAGGGCCCGCAACAGGAGGCCATTTGAGGAATTTACATCTCCCTCGAGCAACCAGCCAACTAGCTAGCCCGGCGATACCCCCATCATCGCCCACAATGACAAATCGAGCTCCAGGGAATTTCCGAGGGCGCTTTGGAGGTGTGGATAACGGGAATGGAGGCGAGAAACTTTAGAGAAATAAGTGAAGGGGCTATGAAACCAAGAAAAACAGTTATTTAGGCCGAGTTCAAGACAGAAATATTTAAGCGAAACCTGACTTTAAACCTTTTAGCTTCTTCATTTACGTTAATTGGCATTTCTTAGTTTTCTTACGCCTGTCTCTGTAAATTTATAATTCGGGTTATCTGGGTCTACCAATCGCTCTTCCATATCCGCCCTAGCCACCCCGATGACCCATATTCACCACTGTCACCAGCCGGGTGTTATCAGCACCACCATACCATCTCTAGCGCACCATTACGATTAGCATATACCAAATGTCGTGTTGTCTAATGTTTCAAGTGAATTTAGTAATTTATACGGCTTCATATAGCGTAGCCTTCAAATTCCGCTCTTAAGGTTAGAATCGACAAGCTACTACTTTTTCCGCGCATTTTGCACTTCCTAGTGTTTAAATTTAGCGTTAAGTTAATTTTCAGCAATGCTGTCTCCACGGGCGGCCACTGTGGCCGCTACCGTAGCCTCATCAATTTGCCTAGCTACCGTATGCCTAGTTTTGCCATACTCATGGATGAACATGCAGCGAGCAAACACTATGCTTTTGCAACATGCGCATCAATGCAAGGTTTGTATAGAGAGAAAGAGAGAGAGAGAGAGAGAGAGAGAGAGATTGCGTATGTTTAGGTTGACGCCGCCGAGCTTTGGCATCAAGTTGGAAAGGGTCAGGTCCGCGTGAAACGACAGCGATATGCGAATGAGGCCTCGGTACCGCGCGGGGATTCTGGAAAATGTAGGCAATTTCAGTTTAAGGCTGTATCTAGCTTTCCAAGTACCTTTAAAATAATTTTCTAGGTTGCTCCTGCCAACAAGGTCCTCCCGGCCCGCCCGGCTCGATGGGACAACCAGGAATCGATGGTCAGTTTAAGTTCTGCGGAACTAGATGCTAAGTTGCTTCCGAAACACTACTATTTCTAGGTGAACCCGGCATGATCGGCTCGAATGGCCGGAATGGACGCTCCGGAAAATATGTACTGCCGCCGAAGAATGATGATTTGTCGTGCCAGAAGGTAAAAATTTCTTTTTCTGCGCTCCCTCACTCTCTCTCTCTCTTTCTCTCTCGCTTTCTCTCTCTCTCTATCTCGTTCTCGCTCTCTTTCTGAATATGCCCTGCTGGCCTACCAGCTTCCTAAACAATAAAACGTCTTTTTCAAACTAGTGCCCAACAGCCCTTCAAGGGCCACCCGGTCATCCCGGCGTCAAGGGCCCACGTGGAAACCCAGGGTACGGTAGAGGATCCATATTTCAAGATCTGACGAAATTTAGCAATCATGGCACAGACGGTCGTCCTGGTGCCCCGGCGCGAAAGGGTCCACCCGGACCTCCAGGAGTCCGCGGACCGCCTGGAGACATTGGAATGCAGGTAAGACCCTGAGATTCGAATCATTTGGCTATATTGGAACTTCATTAAGTGTATAATTTTAGGGACCTCCCGGTGATCCTGGCCGCGTCCTAAACGGTGCCCCGCCCGGTCAACCCGGTCAGCTTGGACATATGGGACCTCGTGGAAAGCCTGGAGCTAATGGAAAGTAAGGATTTAGTAAGAAGGGAAGATATGGAGAGAGGGAGACCGAAATATAGACATAGATTTATGTGTAATAAACCTATCCTCAATTTTCAGTGATGGTCGCTCTGGTGGTGCGGGCCCGGCTGGACTCCGTGGTGACCCCGGACAGCGTGGTTCCGATGGACAACGAGGACTTCCAGGGCCGACTGGACCCCCTGGATCTCCCGGAATCCAAGGTATGGTAAAGGATACGGTAGTTGATCCACTTTTTAGGATCCTGCAGCCATTGTCCGAACGATGGTCGTCAGGCTGCTCCTGCACCAGTAGCTCCCGCAGATAGTGAGTTTATCGAGAGAGTCAGGGAGAAAGAGAGAGAGAGAGAGAGAGAGAGAGAGAGAAAGAGAGAGAGAGACGTAGAAAAAGCCTAAGGTGTGATATTTAGCCCAAGATGCCTATTCCTCCCCCGCTCAGGCTCCCGTTGCGGCTACTTATCAGACCCAGGAGCAAGGCACGTTGTTAACAAGCTGCCTGTATAAGGATACTGTAGCTCGAACATGGCATTTCAGGCATAGTTCTAATTTTTAGGAAACTCATACGAGCAAAATACACCTACTAAGAGCGCCTACGAGCAGGAGGAGCAAGAGGAGGAAGAGGAGGAACAACAGTACGAGCCAAAGCCGACTGCCGGTCCGCCAGCCCCCAGACCGACTAATTATCGAGGGCCGGGTCAGCTTTTGCAACTTCAGAATGGTGTATAATAGCGAAAGCTGTTATGATACGTTCGACGTTTTATTGACTGGATATTGATCATCTGAAGTTTTTTGAAAGATATTATTCCAGCTGGTGGGGCCAGCGCCGCCTCTCTGAGCTACGACAACTCGGTCCCGTCCGTCCAACCGCCACAGGGCTCTGAGTATGCCCGAGCACGAGCTCACGGCCAGCAGACGTTGTATTACAGAGATCCATGTGAGTTCTTGAATTTTATTTGCTTGCCTATGGCCTGGATCCCCAATAGTTGTCAGGAGTCGCTGAAGCCTACAACCACTTTTTAACATGTTCTCAATAACAAAATTATACCTAGCTAGCTAGATCACTGGTCAAAATTATAGTACTCTCCCCGGCGCTTTAGAGCTCATACTCCAAATTTTAGCTCGCTCCCGAGCCCACGCCATCCCGAGCCGAATCCCCGCCAACTTTGCCAACGAGCCGCCGGCCTATTTGGAACCGATGAGCCGTGCTCATGGCACACCGAACTACGGTAAGTTATGCGTAGAGTAAGCCACGCCGAAGCTATCTAACCTGACGTCAAAACTCGAAATTAACTGAAACTTTAAGGTATCCAACCCCAAGCATCGTACCAGCGCACCGCCTCCGACTACGGTTTTGGAGCTGTGGGTTATCAGAATACGAGCCCTTACCAGGTTAGTGGGGTGGTCCAGCAAGGTTGGAAGGCAAGCAAGCATAAAGTATTGCGGATCCAGCGACTTAATTTTTTTAGTCCAACCCGAACCGATGGCCACCACAGCGCAACCAAAACGGTACCTTCCTATGAAATTTTTCTAAAAATCGATACCTTTCCAGGCGGCTACCAGGGCCAGCAGTTCGGCGGAAAGTAATTTCGAGGCATAAAGCCAGTGGACTCCCGGATTTTAATAAAGCCGTTTTGAAGTGTGGATGCGTGGTTCTGGACAAAAACTAGAGAGAGCGAGAGAGAGAGAGAGAGAGCGAGAGAGAGAGAGAGGGAGATAAAGAAAGAAAGCGAAACACATTCAGACAGGCAAACCAATATTCACGCCTACATTGTCATTGATACACGTATTTTATCTAACACCACCTCATTTTTTGAACATTCCGGATGGGCTCTTCTGTAATCGTCACCGGAGAACCGTCAAAACCGGTATTTTCATTTTTAGTCCGGTATTTTAAAAATTTATTTACCTCCGGTTGAGCGATTTTGAAACCGAGTCGTTCTGGATTTCTAGTGTGTAAAAATAGGGTCAACTATAGTTGAGAGTATTAGGAAAGACAATGCGCTAATTCGGTAGTCTATTTCTGACAAGGAGTGTTTTTTAGTCATCGGCAAAACCTTACGAGACCTAGCTCATTCGATAGAGAATTCGATTCTGAACAAAACCCTGCTGTTCTTTTTTGCAGAATGGCTATCCCTGATTTTATAAAATTAAAATACTAGTGGCCGTCTCTTACCATGAGCGCCTTTCGAGCCAAAAGATAGGCTTTTGGGTGCAGTTTTAAAATTTTATAAAATCAGGGATAGCCATTCTGCAAAAAAGAACAACGGGGTTTTGTTCAGAATCGAATTCTCTATCGAATGAGCTAGGTCTCGTAAGGTTTTGCCGATGACTCAAAAAAAGCACTCCTTGTAAGCTTATTATCGTCGCTAAAGCCTATTTACACGTCCGTTATTTTAGAAAATCTCTAAAATAATGGTGGCTCTCCTCGCGATCTCCATTGCCGTCGCACTCCTATGGCCATCGACGGAGCAACAGCTGGCGGCATCGGTAATTTTTCCGTTCCCCTTCGATTGTCCTTACTATTATATCATATAAATCATATACCCTTTAAAAGCCATAGAACATTCACATGGACCCTTTTTACATCCATGTCGTTTTTCAGGAAGCCCAGGAAAAGGAAAAGTTCAAGATGAAGCTGATGAACCAGCTGAAGGGAGCGATGGGCAACTCGAAAAAGGTATGTTGCAAGGGAGGAAGTTGCTATAATATTTCGACATTTTTAAGGATAGATTAAACCCAGAAAGTGCTAAAAAAGTAGAAAACTTTATTCCAGTGCGAACAAATCGAGGATAAAGAAGAGCGGGCAGCTTGTTTCGAGAAACTGATGGACGATATGAAGAAAAAGATGGAAATATTGCGTTCCAGAAAGGAGGCAGCTGGCCAGAGTGATAAGGTAATTTTTATTGTATTAAATAGATATAACTTATGTTTAACTTTTTTTAATTTGATTTATAAAGCTAGCTTATCTAAGGGTGTTGTGCAAGCCTGGGTTCGGTCGATAACTCTGGCCGGAAGACGAATTTACCGCGATTTTTGGTGGAGATATAAAAATGATATTAGTATTATTTATAAGTATTTAGTTTTAAATATTAAAACGGGTTTTTATCGTTTTAAAGGGCACGTTCAGGGACATTTTTTTGGAAAAAAGCAAATATTTTTGCCGCGGCCGGGGGTCGAACCCGGGACCCCCGCTCGGGAAGCGCGGATGGATACCAGTCAGCTACAACCTGGCGAGGGGGCGAGGGGCGCCCCACGCCGCAAAGGAGGGGAATGACCTGTCACAGCACGGGCAGGCAGTGCGCGCGGTCCCTACGTCCATAGGGTGTACACGTTGGGACGAGTACACGGCCCCTCCCTGAACGTGCGCTTTAAAGCTATTTTTCTGATATGGCTGAACCTGGATCAGGTGAGAACGCAGACGCGCCGCGGCCTGCCGATAGCGTTTAGCAGCGTTTTCCCGCCGTTTATTGATTTTTTCAGATGCCAATGTTTCTTTGCACTTTATATTTTTAAACACCGTTTAAATTTAATTACCCCTTTCTTTAGACCCTCCAAGACGCCTTCCAAAAAGCCGACGAACTCAGCAAGCACATCGACCCATCGAAGATAAATTTCGGCAAATCCAAAAGTGAATTGTAGCCTGGGATTTTTATAGTTCGCTATTTTATCGCCATTGCTTTGTTTCATTGTTATATGCGAATCAGCGCTATAAATACGTGAAAATACAACGTTTATCGAACCAAGCAATACAAACAATATCGGATAAAAATAATGAAAAAACACTCGTCGTCACCATTTCGTGTATGCAATCCCTACCCATTTCGCGAAAACACATAAAAATACATGATAATAATGATAAGGAGATCTGTACAACATTATAATTATAGGAAGCAAGAAGTCATAGAAAATAGCGCATTCAAGTTTAAAAGGTATCGGAAGGTATAGCTTAACGAGCTTTTTTGGATGCCATAAAAGGCTTTTTTCAATACAATAATGTTTTTCGATCCAAATTCCATTCACAGTCACGCGTCATTATTCGTCTGCTGCGTTTCAGCTTTCGTTGGAACCGGCGCGAAGCCGGATGAGCGTTTCCGGAACAGAAAACGGGCTAGCTGAAAGAAAAAAAAATCGAATCGTCCTCGATTAGTAAGGCATCCTGATCTATTAAAAAGCTGTGAAAGCTATAGATGTAATGCTACAAACGAACCCCTTTCTTCTGAGTACCGTAGCTACCCGCCTTTGTCAGCACGGCCCCACTGTCTTGCTCCGTAGATTGCGGACAACACGCTCCGAACGTCAACAGGAACTCCCTGGAATTGATAAGTTTTTCTTCTCTTAAAAGTTATGGACACTTAGGAGTGAAATCAAGGCTGTACGAAAATATCTGGTACCTCCTGAAAACGTGGCTCATCAGCGCATAGAGGACAAAGTTGACAGAAGAGTTGATCAGCGACAAAAGATCGAAAGTGTCGGTCAGGATCATCGATAGGCCTTGGAGGCGTCGGTTGAACCCTAAGAAATGTTGTTAATTACTTATAAAAAGTATCTGGAGGTATTTAACGTTAAAAACATCAGTCGCAGCAAATTAAGTTTTTGCCCATTTTCTCAAAAATTTTATAGATTTATGCAAAATCTACTATTACGTCGTGTAGCGCAGAAAAAGCCGCAGAGGTTTTGTTATATGTTTTATTCCCCAGAAGCATCTTAAAATCCAAATTTTAAGCAAAACTCACCAACTGCTAGCCCAAGAATTCCCTGCGGTGCCTCCGTTATCAAAAACACGGCCACGATGCCCGTCAACATCGTTGTGGTTCGTTCAGCCTGAAGGGATACTTATAATTTTTTATAAAATTAAGTTTATAAAATACAGATATTTTAGGTTTAGCATTTTTTGAAGCCACTTCGACCGTTCTTAGGCCCGTAACGAACCCATTTTTCCTATTTCCGCTTTCCCCTGACCTTCGAAACCTTCTTAGACCTGCAGGATGTTTGGTTATGCCAAGACATCTCGACAAGATCCCTAGAAAACCACAAAAAAACCCGGCCTCCCCATTCGTCCATTGTGACGGATCGGTGTTGCATAAGGGAGCGAGTACCACCTAGCCTTTTCAACCTGACCCCACGGAATCTGCTCATTTCCATGTTCCATACATCCCCAGCCCATCCCTCCCCTGTTACTCATTCCGACCTCATCCTCTACCCTCCAGCAGCTAGCCCACCCATTTTTGAGTGGGTGGAGGGGGAGGAGGGAGGTTTCAAGCAGTAGCAGTAACTCAAACTTTAGCCGGAGGAAGGTGGGGGAAAGGAGCACGTGACGAAGCTTCGTGAGTTTTGAAATACGCAAAATGGATTTAACAGCAGCTGAATGATTTGGAAGAAATTTTAGCTTTTAGCTGGGTTTACCAACTCGAACGTTAATTTTAGCTCTCGAAAAAGGGTCAGGACGCTATAACTCTGTAGCCAACAGCTTTAAGCGCCGTTTTACTACCCGAATCGATAGATCTCAATGAGTAGATGCTCTTAGACGTTTCACACGCCAAAGTTGAGTATGCATTTCAAAAGATATAACCTATAAAGGTTCGCACCTGAGAATTCCCAGCCGTCGCCCCGTTGCACAGCCTCGATCGTCGTTCTCTCGCTTCCATCAGCATCCTGGAAATATAGAGCTTTGATAAAGTATGTAGCAAGTTAACGTCATCAATCACTAGAGCCACTTACCTTACTAACAACGACATGAAAATCGTCAACAATATACAAGGCACAAGTTTCAACACCAGCGACACCATCCAATAATTCAGACGCATCAGGTCGCAGTTCCACCATGTTGGAGAGCCAAGGGTATATCTAAAGTTCGACTTGATACCTTAATACAAAAGTTGATTAGCTTTTCGTGGTCATAATAACCCACAACTCAAACGTCTCCATCGTCTCTATCCGTTCCCAATGCTCAAGATGACTGCCCTGCTTGCAGGTTTCGATAAACGAGGGAACGAACATGTCTGCGCGGGCGATGGTTGTTGGACCAAACACCTGAGGAAAATGAAGGTGTCCGAAATAGCAACTATGTAGATACCTGGTAATTGAGGATGTTTGGCAACGATCCGACCACGGCAATGATGACGGCAAAGAGGATCGAGAGGAAGGCCGAGGAGTAGTTATTGCAATTCGGGATTGAGGACTGTGGGTATTGACCACGGTAGAGCACCATGTACCTGAAAGGGATTTGATGGTTAGGCCGTTAATCGTATTAAATTGCGCACGCATTGGATACTAACGTGGAAAGCAGTGCCGCGTTGTGAGAGGCGACTACGCGACCGTTCTATGCATATCGAGTTTTTGTGCGTTGCGCGTAATGTAGGCGCATCATGTAGAAATGTATAGAAGAGTCTCGGGTTCATAAAGTTAACTACGCTGTAGTCCTGTGTCCAACGCATTTTTGTGTGTTTTGAAGCATAATTTCTATCTAGCCCGCATTAGCTACGATCGTACAAAGGAGCGCTGCGTTGTTAGAGCCGACTACGCACCGGTTCTATGCCCAACGAGTCTTTGTGCGTTTTGTACTTGTTGCGTTTTATATGGTCAAGGTATTTTTACCTACCTGAGCACGGCCATATTGACGGTGAGCCACAGACTCAATGAGTGCACAAACACCGACACCATCGCGTAGTACTTGGTGTAGAGGAGGAACGGGTAGGAGAAGTACCACGGGTGGCATTGGTCGACCTGGAAGGAGGCATATAAGTAATATATATAGGCATACGTTAGGGCTGATTTTCAAAGCTTTTTTAGGGAATCATATGTCGTAATGCAATAGGGATGTGGTACCTTTGTTGCTACTTCAAAATAAGCGATGTCAGGGCGTACTATAGAAATTACCTATCGTAATTTCATCTTTGAGGTATCTGTTCCTACTACCATAAAAATATTTTTCCCCGTTCTGCACCACTTTAAAAACTCTCACCCAAAACGGGAAAGCTCTAGCGCCTAGAACATCAAAAATTCACACTAGACTCTCTTTCTCCCCCGCCCTCGTGATTTCCAAACCCTAGCCCTCGTCGTTCATCTACATCATCGTGATTCTCTGGACTTTTTTTGCGTAAATCCCCCAACCGCTCCGACCTCGCGAAGGGATGCAAAATGCGAGGGACGCGCAGAATAAATCGCCTGCTCGGCGACACACGCCAACCCATGCGTTTTGCCCAGGGATTCCCACGTTCAAAATTTCTCTCTCTCTCTCTCGCTCTCTCTCACTCTCCACTTTTTGTCGCTACAACATTGGCCATCCGGCTGGGAATCACACGTTTTTGGCGGGTTTCTGCCGGCCGAAAAATTGGGTGGGGGCGAATTTTGATTTGTGTGAAATATTGGGGCTAGACAGAAACCCATCGAATCTGCAGGGGCGGTTAATTTTGAAATCTTTAATTTCCGGTGATAAATTGACACTAGGATTTCGGTCGTTCGCCTGAAAAAAGGAGACACTACGAAAAAAAGGGCAGGCTAACAGAGACAATTAGGTAAAACCAGGGAAGGAAGATTTTTTCAAAGCTTACAAGGGAACCTCACGCGGACAGGGTGGAATTTCGGAAAACGCTCGCGGCTACCCCTAGGAAATCGGCCATTGCGATCACGATGCACTTGTCAGATTTTTCTGAACGCACCTGTGGACAGAGATACAGCACTTCCGGAAAATGCTGTTTTACATGCAAGAAATTAGCATAGAGGGATGGTTTATGAGGCTCTCCCATCACTATGGAATCACCAATTGAATGGCCCAGTGGTAAGCGGCTCGCTTGATAGGATACTAACGAGGGTTCGGATCCGCTCGCGTTTTTGCTTTTGCTTTTTGGCCTATGATTTTTGTACAAGCCCAGAACTATAACTGGTAAAGCACTTCTTAAGTTTATGACAATTGTGCCACCGGCGACGTCTCAAAATTAGTTCTAAAAAATTAAAAATTTTTTGTACCGACATGTGTGGGACCCAGTCGGCAGGGCTGATTTTCATTTTCAAACTTTTTTTAACTACACTGGCTATACATGGAATATAACGCAAAATAGGGTTTTTGGCTACGAGTAGTAACTTACTGGACTTGTACAAAAATCATAGGCCAAAAAGCAAAAGCAAAAAACGCGAGCGGATCCGAACCCTCGTTAGTATCCTATCAAGCAAGCCGCTTACCACTCGGCCATTCAACTGGTGATTCCATAGTGCTGGGAGAGCCTCATAAACCATCCCTCTATGCTAATTTTTGCATTTAAAACATCATTTTCCGGAAGTGCTGTATTTCTGTCCACAGGTACGGTCAGAAAAATCTGACAAGTGCATCGTGATCGCAATGGCCGATTACCTGGGGGTAGCCGCGAGCGTTTTCCGAAATTCCACCCTGTCCGCGTGAGGTTCCCTTGTTAGGCTTCGATGAAGCTTAGGTTTAGGCTTAGGCTTAGGTCAGGCTTAGACTTGGGCTTCGGCAGGCTTAGACTTGAGCTTAGGCTTGGGTGTGGCTGATGGTTTAGGCTTTGGCCTTGGCTTTGGATTAGGCTACTGTTTCTCTCCCATAAAAACGGAAGTGACGAATTCATCCCCGATCACCTTCTAGGATTTTCTCGGCACTTCTGACGATGTACTCAGTAACCGGAAGTGCTCTCCAAATCACATGATAAATTCGCACAGATTCCTTACACCGCAATTTATACCTAATGTAGTTGATTTTAGTGTTTTGATTGTTCTAGAACATACCGGAAGAAGTCGTAAAATACACCAAAAATACAAAACATTACAACTCACATGTTTATAGACCAGATAAGTAGCCATTAATGTTGCGTCGCAAACCGCGATTGCCACCAAGAACACGTTAAACGGGTTTCTTCGCATGGCTGGCCGAACCAGGACGATAACTGAAATTTAAGGGAAGCTATAGGCTATAGTTTAAAACCTTAAGGTATAGTTTTAAGTTTTGCAATCCCTCAGTTTTTCCAGCTAAAGTTTGGCTCCCAAGCAACTGTGAAGTTTTGAAATCTCTGACATTTCACCCCCTTAATCCCCAGTGAAATTGGATCTGTTTGGATAGAGCGAGGATAGGGTGTGGATTGAGAGCACTTATCACCCCGGTGGAAAGAAGAAGCCCCTTGGCTTCGGTGCAAAATACGAAGCCGAGGTGTTGTGATGATTGGTCGTTGGAGTGGAGTCGTGATCATAGTGGCAGGTAGTAGTACGTAGTGGTACTATTTTGGGGGACAGAAAACCTAGAGGGTGCAAAACTACGTGAAGCTGTGGAACGCTATATGATACTGGGCGATACTACGCGATACTACGTAGTGCTAACAAGGAGACGTTTTTTAGTGTGAATGGAGTTTTAAGTTGAAACCAGGCTTATTCTGTGCAGAATTTTGCGCTGATTCCGATGCTGTTTTCCAATTTTGCTAAATAGCTCGATTTAAAAAGTTACAGCTATTTTAAGATAATTTTTAGGCCCAGAGTAGCCATATGCTATGCTGTGCTACTTTTTTTGTTATAACGTTTTAATTTTGTTTAAGTAGCCTATTTTGTAGAGAATTTTTTTCTGATTCGAATGGTATATTTGATTAGTGCGCTACTGCCGTTCGACGATGGCTTACAGGGGTGAGAAATAGGCTGTTTTTCACCATTTCCCATACAAAAATCGCAGTCCATACCAAGTATCGTCGATTTTTCCGATTTTCAACAATTTTGAGTTAAATAACTCATTCGATAGAGAAAATTTTTCTGAATACGGTGACGATATTTATTTTTGGAAAAACAGCCGGGAAAAGCAATATAATGGTCCCTAAAGAGGGGAAAATTTGGCCTAAAATGCTCTTAAAATTGCTATAACTTTTGAAATCGAGCTATTTAGCAGAAATGAAAAACATATTCGGAATCAGCGCAAAATTCTGCACAAAATAGGCCTGGTTTCCACTCAGAACTCCATTCACACCAAAAAACGTCTCCTTGTAAGCGATAGTACGCGCCAATCCGCTAAGGCCACTCTAGTCTACGTTCCATAAATACGCTACTTATCACGTATGCGTACTCGCTTTTTCGCTACCCTTTGACACATCGTTATACGCCTTGAAACCTCTTTTCGCGTACAGTCGCGTACTACCGTAACTCACCAATAGCAACATTGGCGAAGACACCGATGAGACACAGCGGCACATAGAGGTAGTGGTGGATGAAAGTGAAGAGTTGGATCAGCACGTTTAGCTCCTGAAACGGATAATTTAAATTTTTATCTCTCTCTCTCTCTCTCTCTCTCTCTCTCTCTCGCTCTCTCTTCTACAATCCTTGACGACAATGTTGCTTCTTAAGCATTCTGCTTTTTTCGTTCCACTCACACCCCAAAGAAAACCCAGGGAAGTCTTGCTAATGAGGTGAGGGGGTTCTCGGATGGGCTTCGTCTTGTCTATGCCCCACTTCGCGTAGCGGCGCCCGAGGAAATCCGTTTTCCGGTGGGGCGGTCAAAATGTAGCGGGCAAGGAAACCGGAAGTCCAGAAAAAGTCAAGTGTTTGTAAAAAGTTGTAATGTGGAATCAAGGAGTTTAAGCCGGACTACCGGTAACGGTAAGTACATTCGATTAGCCAGATAATTGAGCCAAAATGGCCTGTATCCTTCGCACAAACATATAAAAATTATGCGGATCGATAAACTGGAAAGCCGGATCTCTAAAAATTTAATTTTTTCTATAAAAATTTCGGGCCGTTTTTGGATCGATTTTTATTTAATTTCCAATTTTTAGTCCCTAATTCCCGAGACCAGAGCCCACTGAAAAATACCCAACGCTACCACCGTACAGACGCCCCCAAAAAGTTGTTTGCTTTGGATGTTTTAAGGCTTCCGGGATTAGTTCAAAAAGCCGAGCACCACGAGACTAATTCCCCGAATCCCCCGGCCAAATCCCAGTGATTCAAGGCGCGCGCCGGAAACGAGGTTTTTCGAAATTTTTTGGACCAGATGGACCAATTATGAGAAACGAATTTTGAAATGGCGTTTGAAGCGAATTTCGGGATTACCCCCGGCTACGCGGGAATCCTATCGACTTTCGGCGAGGGTTCCGGCTCCATTTGGTGATTTGGAAGACTGGTAGGGGATTTTGAAAATCACAAGATTGAACGCGTGTTCTGGACGAAAACGCGGGGCAGCTATACCGTAATGTAATCGCAACCTGGTACACTCTATAGAGTTTTTGGATTCGGAGCGTTTTAGAGAAATGAGTACATTTGGAAACACAGGCTGAGAGGGAGAGCAAGAGAGAGAGAGAGAGAGAGAGAGAGAGAGAGAGAGAGAGAGAGAGAGAGAGATATGAGAGAGGGCGAGTAAGAGTGAGTGAGCCTCAGCAAAAGCGAACAAGAACGAGATAACCTTTAAAACCTATTCGATTTTCAAGGTATTTTTACGATTAAGCCATTACACCGATTTATGCCTAATCAGCCCCCTAAAAAAGCTATCAGAGCTCCCTGGCCCCCTAACTAAAGATCCAGCTCCTGATCCTCAAACTCTCAATCGCACCGCGAACCTGCTTCTTACACGGCTAGACATACAGCCACCCCTTAATTTTCAAGCACATCCGACAAATGCCCTCTCCACCTATTTCCTCTTACACATCCGAAGAGTCAGTGCCCCCCGCCAAGACCCCCCCCCCCCCGGGCTTCTACCTATAAATTATTTGGCAAGCGGGGTAGGTCCCGCTGCCCGTCCTCTCGATTCTTTGAAGGAGGGAGCCACACTAGGGGCTTCACCTCCTCCCACCAAGTGCCCGTAAATAGGCGGTTCCCGTCGTGCGGGCAGGTGGGGCGATTCGAGGAAGGGGATTTTGAAGGTTATTTGTTATTGGCTTTTCGGCTTTTCGGGGTATTCAAGGAGAAATCTGCCAGGCGCCTTGGATACATTTTTTGGAGGGTGTGGGAGGAGGAACGCTTGGAGGAAGGAGGAATGTTTCCGAGTCTCTTCAAGAAAATGTCGAAATTCATAGTGTCGAAATTTCACATTGTCGATATTTCACAATGACGAAATTTCATATTTTCGAAGTTCCTTAAAGTCGCAACTTTACATTGTCGGTATTTCATTATGTCAAATGTCGACAAAATGACTTCCAAAAAATGTCGACATTTTTGGCAAGCAATTACAGATCCCCGTAGATTTTTATCCAAAATATCGACATTCTAATCTGTCGGCATTTTGAAATTTCGACATAATGGATTTTTGATATTGAGAAATTTTGACATTGCAACATTTCGACATTGAAATCCCAAAAACCAGGTCCACAAGTCAAAAAAAGGAAGAAAAAGAATCAAGAAGACATCGGAAATATTTTCAGTTTCTCACCATACGTTTACCTTCTCAATCCCTTTAAAAGGCCATCAAAACTCTAGTTTGCTCCCTCCTGGAAATACCCCCGTAAAAATTCGCATATTTCCTCATTCGGCCGGAGCGGCGGGGCCGAGTTCGGTGAAGCGTTTGCTACATTATTTCCTCGAGCCGGCAAGAGCACACCCCCATTTTCCCTGCATGGCATTGCTCTTCCCCTCGGGGCCGCTAGGGCCAAAAAAGTGAACGGAGCCCCCGCAGATGCGCTAAAATACACGGCACGATTGCGCTTTCACGGAAGCTTGGCTTAAAATGGACGCTATTGTTTGGGGGAAATCAACCGGGGGGATATTCGGGAGGTGGAAGGCAAAAGTTGGCCTGACCTCATAGTTCGTCATTTTTTGGGAGGAGAGAGAGAGTGAGAGCGCGAGAGAGAGCGACAGAGAGAGAGAGAGTGAGAGAGTGAGAGCGAGAGAGTGAGAGAGTGAGAGAGAGCGAGAGAAAGAGGGGGAGAGAGAGCGACAGAGAGCGACAGAGAGAGCGAGTGAGAGCGAGAGAGAGCGAGTGAGAGCGAGAGAGCGAGAGAGAGGGGGAGAGAGAGAGAGCGACAGAGAGAGCGAGTGAGAGCGACGGAGAGAGCGAGTGAGAGCGAGAGAGAGCGAGTGAGAGCGAGAGAGCGAGAGAGAGAGGGGGAGAGAGAGCAACAGAGAGAGAGAGAGCGAGAGAGAGAGTGAGAGCGAGAGAGTGAGAGAGCGAGAGAGCGAGAGAGAGGGGTGAGAGAGCGACAGAGAGAGAGTGAGAGCGAGAGAGTGAGAGGGGGGAGAGAGTGAGAGAGTGAGAGAAGAGAGAGCAAGATAGAGAGGGGAGATAGAGGAGAGAGGGAGAGAGAGAGAGCGGGAGAGAGAAGAGAGAAGAGCTAGAATTTATTTCGTAGGCCTAGGCTAAGGCTTAGGCTTATGATTAGACTTAGGTTTAGGCAACAGATTTGCCCCATGCCTTTTTTGGCCTTAAGCTCAGTCTCGGCTTCTAAACTTTTTCCGGAACCGCTGGGCCAGCAAGGTGTAGAAATTGATTTATTTTTTCGGTTTTCATCCCATTAAGATTACCCGGCCCTAAGCACCATCTTTTTCTTGCTTTTCGATTCGAACCCACCAATTTTTGGGCTCTTCGGCTCGCGAAATTCCGGTTCCTGATGGCGCCCCCCAGGGCCCAGCCATTAGCCATACAAATCCCGGGATATTCCATATTCTCGCGGGAAGGGGATGGGTCGCTATTTTTTCCACCAGCCAAAGGACACGCAAAATGTTGGCCGGGCCCCAAGATGTAAGCCACGAGAAGCTTTTCGTCCCCGCTAGGTGTCCCCCGGAAGTCCGGGAATTCCCCCCACCTTAAATTCGGTTTCCGTGTCCATACGTAGGAGGTAGGATACTCCCGGGAATTTGACTTTGGACTTTAACAGCTTGTAGCAAGCTTAGAACTAGGCTTGACTTGGGTTTGGCTTAGGCATGGCTTAAGCTTAACTTAGACTTGACTTAGGCTTAGGTATTGGACCGTTTGGGGGATAGGACGAGTTCACTGGCAAAAACGGGTCCCCTCCAATACCCCCGCTAACGGTCCTGTACCCCCTCGGTACCAAATAACTCTAACGAACTACAGCTGTTGTCTGCTAAAATGTGCTCCCCCAGGTCGAACGGCAAAATAACCAGATTTTGAATGCCAACCCCGGCGAGGTCATGAAAAGCCGAAGGTGGTCCGCGAAAATTGGGGGCAGTTTCGAACAGCTCGAACATCGGCCAAAAAAATACGCGCATTTTGGGCCCTTTCTCGTGGCTTTCTAAAGGCGCCCATTCACGCCGGTGGAGCGTTATTTTCGGGGGTGACGCTAGAAAATGACCGGAACTAGCCGCGCCGATCGATTGGAATTTGGGGAAAACTGGCGGTGATTCTTGGGGATTTTGGGCTAACTGAGAGGGATCTTTAGGGAATTTCAGGGAGCGCGAAAACGAGGTAGAATTATTTTTAGAATGGACCAACCAAATGAGGAGATTGCGGGATTTCATTTCGAGGCCAACTTGCAGAGATTGTTTGCGGAAATTTGAATTTTTCGATACATTTTTGAGAAAACGGGAGTGAAAATGAGACAGAGAGAAAATAAGAGAGAGAGAGAGCGAGAGAGAGAGATAGAAAGAGAGAGAAAGAGAGAAAGCTGGAAAACCAGATTTTTACCCATTATTCAAACCTATCAACCCCCAAAATCTTGCCGATTCCTTGCCAAAGACAACTCCATAAATCGCAGTTTTTCTGGGCCCGGCAATACCCTCAAAAAAAAGAGGGACTGCACCGCCCCAATCTTGTTAGATATCACGGAAGTAATCCGTCAAAAAAAGGCTTTCTCTCCGCCGAGGTGGGTCCCAGGAGGATCCCCACCACCCGGAATTCCGAATGGCACCCTATGACACTCGGCTTTTTCCATTTTTTCGAAGATAACAATGTCGAAAGAAATTTTTCGACAATTGATTTTATCGAAATTCATTTTGTCGACATTTTGAGTTATCGGCATTTTATTTTCAACCCGGGGAAGGTAAGAAATTCTGATTTTCGACAAGATGAAAGTCGACAGGCGTTTTCGACAGGTTGAGATATAAATTTAATCAATTTTATTTCGACAGATATCATAATTTTCGACAAAATGGCGTTTCGAAAGGAATTTCGGCATTCTAATTTTCGACACAATGACATAAAAACCCCGATACTCACCCTCGTCCAGTGCTCCTTGCTGTTGATCACCTCACTCCGGTTCGCGCCCATACATGTGTCCATCTTGGCCAACTGTCACTCGTGCTCTAGCTGTTTCTAGCTGGTTCTATCACTCTCGCTCCCTCGCCAAATCTAAAAGTGATGT